TTCTAAGCTAAAAAGATAACTGACTATAAAATGTTAACAGAAAAAAAGAACAAAGCAGAAATATCTTCTCATAGCCCATATCGGGACCCACTAGGAACACCAGAGTTGGTATAAAGATTATTTTCAGCTGAAGACATTTGAGATTCAACAGATGCAGAAAGGAGCCTTCTTAGAGCTTCCCTTACCTGATAGAATAAGGGGAGAATCAGAATAAAGCAGGAAGGTCTGAAAAATGGGGACTGCCATAAATTCCCTCTTCAGGGTGGGTCTGCTCCCAGGAGAGAGGAGTAAGCAGCCCATAAATCCCCTCTCCTGTGGAGTTTTATGGCCCTAGAGAAGACGGAAAGACCACTCATACCTGTACAGACAGTCATTATCACAAACTTCCTTATCTCCCATTAGTTCTCCTAAAAAAACACTGTCTGTCCCAAGAAACCTATTTGTTCTTCCCATAGGAGCCTTTCCTGCTAAGTCAGGCACAGAAGCCCCCAAATATTACCATGCCTCTGAATTACTCATCACTGAGCACTTTCATGTGTGTCCTCATTGCATATGTAAATAGCCTTTTTTCTCCTATGAATCTGTTTTATTTTCCATTTTAATTTGTAAGCCCCAGACCATAAACTTAAGAGGGCAGAGGAAAAGGTTTTCATCTCATATACCAAGCAACTTACTTAAGTTTACTTAAATTTAGCCCATCTATGTTCAATTATAATCTTAAAATAATTTTAGTTAAATTAAACAGAGGGAATCTCAGTAAGAATCCTCTGTCAGATCTCCCCCCTTGCATCACGAATAAAGGTTAAGTCTTCTCGTTTGGACTTTGCCAAAGATGAAAAACAATGCTTCACAAGAAAGAAAACCAGCCCATTCAAGCCACAGAGATCCACACATGCAATACCAGTCACCTCTACCAACTGTGATGAACTCTACTGACAAAAGTCTGCTGAGAACGCCACTGCTAACCCTCAGGATTTTGCTCGAGACAAAACAGAAACGGATAACACCACAGTTATTGCTCTTCTGTTCCCCCATCGTCCACCAACATGTTTCTGTAAACCATAAACACTGGAGCATAGATTTTGTATAAGAAAACTCAATCTCATATATATATATGATTTTTCTTTACCTTAATTAGACATTTCCATCAATGTCAAAGAAGAACATCATGACTCAAGCTTCCTTCTGAGCAGCATCAATGTTTATCCTAATAACAAAAAAAATAGAGAAACATGTAAACTCAGAGATTGTCTACTTTAAATGTGACAAGTCACAGTTTATAGAAGGGAATAAAATAACGGGAAATGAATGAGAGTTCTTTATGGAAATGGGGTAAGACAGCTAACAGCCATAGTTGGCCTGAAAACTGAGAAAACAGCAATAGAGGGTTTTCTTGGATCTTTCTTCTAAAGATTCCTGGGTATACAAGCTGGTTCTCTTGGAAACAGACTTGTACTCAGTGCACTCCTGATGGGTAGGAACTATATCTTAGAAGAGGGGGAAAAAAAGACAATTTTACATGTTAGAAATGCCTTGGCCAAATGATTTAATGGCTCAGAGTTTCATTTTCCTCATCTGTAAAAGGAAAGTGGTAACATCTACCCCATAAGCCTGTGGTGAGGATGAGGGAGGAGTCACGCTAAGCTGGCCCCACATTGCCTTGCACACAGCCGACACTGCATATACACCAGTGCTTGTTTTCTCTACAGCCTCCTCCCCCCAGTCCTTGGCTTATCTTGCAATTACTTCCAACACCTTATAGTGTTAGCTCCATGGTATTTAACGGAAAAGAAAAAAAGAAAGAAAAGAAAATATAAAATGTCTCGAAGACTTCAAAATAGCTGCTTTAAAAGTGTGAAAAAAGAGATGACAGTCAACTTCACATTTAAAAAGAACAGTTAAACATATTGAATGTTCCCTACATGCCAGGCCCTGTCCTAATAATTTGATGTCAATGAGTTCTTTAGCCCTCACAACCATGATACAGAGAAGGTGATATTAGAAAACTGAAGGCATGGAGCAGTTAAGTCCCTTTGTTCAGACCGCACGGCTCCAATGTGATAGAGCTGGGATGTGCATCCATGGGGTCTCACCTCAGCCCCCGCCACCTTCACCACCCCATCACGCCGGCTTCACCATACTCTGCACCGTGGGACTGTCAGGTGCTCCAGGTGCTGTCATACACTTGAATTTTCTCCTCCCCTTTCCTCCCTCCTTCCTTCCTTTTCTTTCCCTCCTCTTCTCTTCCTTTCTTTCAACCTTTATTTTTAATCTGAATTCACTCTTTTGCTTATTTTGTTCTTTTTTTGCATTGAGTGACTGGGACAGAATATTGATCACTGCAGGATAACGGAGTTCTCCTTTGGGCTCAGCCTTTTACTAGTTGTGTCACTAAGATGAGTCATTTAACTTCCTTGAACCTTAGAGGACTTTTCCTCTGTACAATGATGCATTAGATAACATGATACCATTTCCAGTTTCCTGGTCCTTTCACTGGCTACTTTGGAAGCAGTTTTAGATCATGTTAGTGTCAAGATCTTCCTGAATACATCACAACTGTGGACTCTCACATAGTCACAAGTTTGTTTGCTTTAGCTGAGGCTAAAATTCAGGGAGGAGACATTTAAATTTACATACACTCTTTATGGAACTTACAAGTGAGGATACTGATGCTCAAAGAGAATAGGGAACTTAGCCAAGGTCACACAGAAGTGGAAGAGCTAAAATCTGAATCCAAGTTTATCTGTCTAGAGCCCATATTCTTTGCAATATCCAAACCTACCAGAAAGTACTGTCCAAGAAAGTTAATTGGCCTAGGTTAGTGTCATTTCTGAGATGTGGCTCACAGTTTAGGGTGGTAATAATAACCATAGCTGTTATGCACTGTGAGCTGATTACGTGCTGGCAGCGATGTCTGAAATTGACATATAATATCTCACTTAGTCGTCCCCATCAAACCGAAAGCCAGGTGCGATCATCGCTGTCTTTCAATAAATGAGGAGACTGAGGCACTAGGACTAGCATTCCTTGCCCAAGACACAGAGCTAATACGCAGGGGATCTAGAATTTAAACCAGGAACAACTAAACTTTTGGCTGAAGTTATGATTTATGATGCTCCCTGGCATGTGACAGTTAACGACGCCCTGTCAAGTTAATAAATCGTAGTCGTGAATACTGGGAGAGACAGCTGGAGAAGGTTAGTGTGAGGGTGACCACAAAGACAGCCCTGCCATTTAGGAATTCACTGGCTCCCATAAAGGAGAAGCACTGTTTTAGAAAGACTTGCCAGACACTCTGAGACCCTGCCTCCTGCGCTGTCTCCCCATTAAAAACCACCAGCTACTGTCATCCCACTTGACAGTGAAACAAAAATGACAAAGCGAATTTCAGGGGACCATGTTTGTCAGTGAGGTGTTCAGCACGTCCTTCACACTCGGGGAGATGGACCCACGTGCTGCCTACCTTTGGGAATAAGGAAACCAAGCTCCTGGAAGAGAGCAGGTAAAGCGAACAGCCAATGAGCGCAAGGAACCCTCTGTACACAGCTGGGTCCAGAGTCACGGAGGAAGATGCTTTCCAGATGCATTCCGAACACGAGGTCGTGATTAGGATGGAGAGGCAGTCAAGTCTGTTTGGCTTCTGCGGGGGATTTCTTTGTATATTCTAATTGCATCATCATTTAGCTTTATTTCATCTGGAACCTGGCTGCCAAATGAGCGTATTGATTACCTGTCACGGATGCATATTTCTCACTTATAAGCCATCATGGCTTGTAAAATTGCAACCACGTCAAGACCCATGAGTGGATTTCACTTCAACTTTGAGTGGCCATGTTAGTCATCTTCTAGTGAGCTTCCACTACAAGGCTGATTTATTTAAATGTCACAGCTCCCTGCAAGGGAGACCTCATTGTCTTTCTGTCTCTCAAATGAGGAAACAGAGGTTCAGGAGGATTAAACCTTACCCAGGATCACATGAATTGTAAGTGGTAGAGTAGGGATTTGAATTCATATGCAACTTCAAATTCCACAGGGCTTTCTGCCACACTCAGGCAGTGAATGCACTGGCTCAAAGCGTGGACTCTGAAGTCACGTGGCTTGGCTGGAAGTTCCAGCTCTGCAGCTTACTAGCTCTACGATCTTGAGTAAGTTTCTGAACATCTCTGCTTCAGTTTCCTCATCTGCAGAACCAGGGAAATACTATCTCCAGAGTTGTCAGGATTAAATGAGCTGCCATATGTACTGCATTTAGACTAGCGCCTGAGATCAGGAGAGACCATTATTTTTACATCCTCTGAACGCTTTGGAAAAGAAACTGTAAATCTTTGACCTTCAAAAACTTGCTGTAGGCACTTTATATTTCGAAAGACTTTGCAACAATTCCATTTTCTTCACAGCAGCCTCGCATTTCAGGTCAGACCACTGCCTCTCACTCAGGCTGAGATGGGAGGACCTACAGAGTCAAAACATTTTCACTTCATGCAATTGATGACCTTCCTCATCACATCTGAAGACACACATAACAACGCTATTTATTTTTATTCACCCGCATGCTTTGGGTGCCTTCGGTTTACTCTTCTTCGCAACCTCACACTTTGGTGCTTATTATCTCTATTTCACAGATGAATGTGGTATGAGTCATGCAATTAAAATGGTTTTCCCAAGTCCACCTAGCCAGTGTGTAGCAAGACTGGGATTTGAATCCTAATTTGGATGTATCCTAAATTTGTGTGCTTGCCCCCCAGTCATGACACTTAGCCTCTGATGGTGTCTCCTTGTCCATGAGGTGAACTTGTAAATATCAGATTGTCTTCAACCCACACAGCTATCACCTTTCCTGATTTTTCCTCCACTAAACACATGTTTTACAGAGCCCTTTCCACATCCCACTCCCCTCCATGGGATGTTGTGTGAACAGAGATGAACACAGCGGGCGTGGGGTAGGGGGTGGTGACAGTCAATTACACACTTGAAGTATTCTAAGAAGGAAATGAAGATGCTAGGATGGAGAGAACGGAGAGCAACAGTCCAGGGGATGACACAGGGGCTCTCTAACAAAATGTCCTTTAAGCTGAGATGACCGTGAGAAGGAGGCAACATGTAAAAGGTGGTGGTGGTGGGGGGTCCTGGCAGAGGAGGAGTGGGTGCACAGATCCTGAGACAAATGGGAGCCTGGGAAGCAGAAGGAAGCCTGTGCAGTGTGGGAGAATGAGAAAGAGGAGGGTGGAGACGTGGTTAGGGATTTGTGGAAGAGGCTGGAGGAATGAGCTGAGGCCACATCATTCAGGGTCCAGGGAGCCACAGTGAGGTGCTAGGGTCTGAGTGCTACATAGCCTCATATAGCCTTTGCTGGTAGAAGGTCATTCTCACATTTCACTGTCATCACATCATCCCCTCCAGAGCATGAGCTTCTCAGCAGCCCAGGACAATGTTCAGGACAAATTGCACATGCAGCAAATTGAACAAATGAACAAATACATTCCATCTGGTGACGCTGCAATTTAGTAAGATGCTTATTGAAAGGCAGATATAAGTAAGACTGGAGTAAAATAAGAAATGAGCATTTTTGATCCTGGCTAAGAATCAAATAAATCAGATATATATATACATATATATATGTCTGTGTGTGTGTGTGTGTGTGTGTGTGTGTTTTTTACTTATGTAAAAATAGATAGGTATTATATATTAATAATCATAGCCACTATTAATAGTTCGGCACTGGGCTCAGTGTTACACGTGTAACCTCTTTAATTTTCATGACAATAAACATGTAGTCATTACTGTTAATCCCCATTTGAGAAAAGGCAGCCATAAGAGCAAAAAACAAAAATACTGTGGCAGTCACCCAGGGTGACAAAGGTAATACTTACGGTGCTAGAATTTGAACCTGGATATTTTACTCAAAGTCTGTGTATTTAGCAACTTTATGATATGTCTTTTGAGGTAGTTATCTTTGGAATTTTTTAAACTTTAAAAATGTAAAACATAATATATAAAAGTAATTGTCCTTGAAAAGAAATGAGTAATAGTAGACATCAAAAATAGAAACAGAATTCTTAACAATAATGAATAGTTAATAAAATATGAAATTTGATAGAATCTCATTAATAATAATTAGAAAACAACACAGAAAAAAGGAAGCATTCAGTGAAATAAAATGGTGTTTTACGGACGCATTTGTTTTAATTTTCTTTTTTACTTTTTCTA